GATTACAGGGTTATTTTAGAAACTACTGTCAGATATGAGTGTTTAGTTGGAGGACGCGGTCGGGGCTGAGAAAACCACCGAAGCTCAAACTACTGAAACCCCTGCAGGGAAGACGTGGGGAGGCAGCGGACGTGGAACTGGGTGACTCCTAACAGCTTCGGTCTTGAAGCTCCAGCCGTCACATGGATTGTGGAAGTTGTTTGATTGCTGATGTTGTGCACGTGTGTGTTTCTGCTTCATGCTGAAGTCTTTGTGTGACAGCCGAGGCTGCAGAGGTCACATCTGTGCAGGCCTTCATGTTTTTCTGGGAAGCTTTTGATCACGTCACAGGTGCCGTTTATTCACGTGTCTGCTTCACATGCTGCTCATCATGTGAAAGTTTGAAATCGTGAGTCCTCCTGCTGGGATGTAATGAGGTTTGCAGTCTCAGTACTTGGAGGTTTGGGAGGAAGGCTGTGCCGTAAGTCTGTATTAGCTCGTTTTCTATTATTAGATATTTCTAATCCCGCAAAGAAAAGAGAAGCTTATATTTGGTTAGTGAACACACAATGTTAAAATTAAAGCTAATTCTAAAACAAAAGGGCTTTACTTTAATTTCATTCTCATTAAACACCCTCTCAGGGTGAAAGAGAAGCAAACGAAGCAGAGGGTTATTCCGCGCACTTCGTCATTAATCATCAAAAAGGAGAAATTAATAAATACATCTGTCAGCAAACCTCCCGAATACTGGTGCAAAATGTAATAAAGAAATTGAAAATTTACGCTGAATCACAATTTCCAAGTTCTCTCACCCTGAAATACACAGATTTATTTTGTCTTTGCAACTTAAAATGACTGCCTTCAAATAAATGAATGACATTTAGCTACTCCAGCCTTAAATATACGTCTCTATGCAGGAGAAATCCTGTGACATCACTGATGTGAAAGAAAAACACTAGAAAGCTTCGTTTTGCTCATTTATAACCATGAAATGTTGCACATTGATGACTTCAAAGAGAGCAATTAATAGATGCATTAAATAAATAAAGTTTTTAAATGGATTGTTTTGCATGGATGAACTTTTTCTTCATTATAGAGACATTAAAGCTCTTAATGACATTCGACCTTAAATGGTAAAAACACAGAATTGAGTTTTTATTTAACGGTTCTTCTTAAAAAATCATTTAAAAATGCAAATAAATGAATTAATGCAGATGTGAAAACCACTACAGAGGCACTCGTTGAACTAGTATCATATTTACAGTTGGTTCATTCTGACGACTAATTAGCGCATGCAGTGACGCTTATAGTTCATTTTCTTAATTTACCTGTTAATGATGATGAAGTGGCAGGTCGTGAATAAATGAATGAATTCAGCCTATTTTAAGTATTGCACACTGTCAGTTACTCAAATTAAATTCATTGTTTCTCCACATGAGATCATTAATATGTCACCTGTTAATGTTGATATTTCACTTGCACTGCATGAGGTAATTCCTCAACTTTAATTTTCCTGCTCACAACAAAACGCACGTCACGGGCAAACTGTTCATGTCAAATCAGCGCTGCAGAGATTAGTGACTCATAGCGAGGCTTCAGATGTCCTCGTCGTCCTCGTCGGCACGCAAAAATATGAAGACCTTTGGGTTTGAGGCAGGGTAGCTGTGGTTGATGCGATTCAAAGAAAGTTATCGATCTCTCGACACTCAGCCGTCACTCCGAACCCTTCGGCGCCTCATGGCCGAGCAGCGACCTTCAGGCTGCCGCGGTGACACAAACACGCAGCCCTGCAGTTGTGGGCACGGCGCCGCTCAGGAGTGAAAACACAGATGCTTCTCTGTGCAGGCGGGCAGAGAAAGAGGGGGAGCGGAGGGAGAAGGAGGCCGCCTCGCTCGTCCGCGCTCCTTTGTCTGTTCGCCTGTTCACACAATCGGTCAAATTTCTGCAGCCTAAAAACCTACAAATGTGTTTCAATCCGAGGATTTGCGACTAGAAGAAACAAACAAGTGTTGTGTGGGCC